AATAAATTGTGCGCCTTTTAATAGGAGAGAGTGATTCTTTCAATCCACACAGATACGTCAAGCAAAATGGTTTGAACCAAACTGGGTGCGCCTCTGCACGTTCGTCATGGTGAAGCTCTCCCATGGTTTCGATTTGTTTGAGTCTGCCTTTTCAGGTGGATTTCTGAGTAAACAAGAGAGACACCCGAGTTTTGGGGAATGCAAGCATGGCTCACTTTCAGCATGCATGTGGCTACAGGAACCTAGCTCAGACTAAAAAGTACATGGCATCGCTTGGGTGTGCCCGGACACAGGAAATACCCAAAACACAAACAGTTCATCTTGCGGGCTGATGAAAGCCCATATCCAGCTATGTTTGTTCATCTTTTCAAGACCACCTCCTTCCATTTTTTTAAGACTATGTTTTAATTTCCCTGTTTGTTTTAAAGGGAATCTGTCACTGTTGGAAGTATGTTCTCATTTGGTCCGGGGGTCTTAAGCAAATGGCAGCCTATGAGCAAAGCCCACCCCTAAAGTGGACGTGGTTTTTGGGGTGGTTTTAAAGGGAAACTAAAAGGAAAACCACCATTTTCGGGTCCCCAGATTTTGAGTGTCTCACCCACGTGCTCGCAAGAGCAACGCAGGTGGAAGCGCAAGAGACACCGACACCGAGTGCAGGCCCGGGAAGGGTTCCATTGGGACTCATGACATCTCTCCTTAGCCTATTGCTTATGGTCTTGTGTGCCGAATATGTGTATAAAGACATGTATAAGAACACTATACATATTTGTTTTAAGAAACAATCAAACATGAGTCCGTAAATATACATATAATGTAGGGACGAATCATACATGACTCGGCATTAGTGGTTGGGCAAGAGCTGAAGTTGGATGCCCACTGTGCTTCTGTGCTTTTTGCTTGGGGTCCTGAAGGGCGAGATGAGTTGATCTTCTCTGGAGGCTGCGGAGGGTTTGCAATGGAGTCATGAGCTGCGTGTTGCACCCTTCCACTGGACTTGGTGGCTCCCAGCCATCCGATTCAACTTGGCCTTTGAGCTTTGTGTTCAGTGGCAGTTTCCGAATTTAACCCACTCAAAGTTCGCCACTTTTAGCGGGGGATCTGCGTGCAGCCCAGTGGAACGCGATCTTAGCATCTTGGTACATCTATCCACTGAAGGCAAGGATTTTTCGGTGTGCCGGATACGGTGCATAGAGATGCGGTGCAGGAAATAGCAATGAACAACTCCCGCAGAACCTGGGGCCACAAATTTCCCATGTCCTCTTGAATAAAGAAATCAGGCATGTCACGTGTTGCGCAAATGACATGGACATCCAAGCGGTGAATTGGTTTGTGGGTTTGTCAAATTGGGTGGACCCCCTTAAATGATTGGTTTCCTTATGAAAAGCCCTATAAACCATTCCAAAACATACACATATCTTCATTTGGCATGTGAACAAGGGCTGGCTAGCATCAATATCCACCCGGCTGGTTTTGGGTTGTGGACATTCAAGATCAGAAGTTGCAGTGTGGCTTTACCAGGTTTGGTTCAATCAAGTTTCTCCATTCGGAATGATGGGGACCAAGCATTGCTTTGCACCTATCGACCAATGCGTATCCTGACCGTTTGGAGCTCGTATGGAAGACGGGCTTGGCCAACAGCAGCGACTCACGGGAAGGCATGGAAGGCACAAGAAACTGGGAACCTGCTAGTTGAGTAGTTTTCCTTTGGCTTCCTCTTCGAGCCCCAAAGAAGAAGCTCCAGAAGTCAGCACAGCATCGTAGTTCCGGAGCTGCCACAGACAAGCTAACAAAATAGCGATCCACCTCCAATCTCGAGCGAAGAGTGTTCAACGTTATCAGGAGGCACTGACTTGAAGTCGGGTCTGCTGGAATACGTATCCGTGTTGTTGACATGACTGTAATGTTTACCCCGGATTAATACACCCCTGATACCCCTGGTTGATTAATAGGGGGGTGTCCCCTTTTAGTGGGGATTCATCACTTTTGGAGGGAAACCCCCCCTAACAATGGGGGGTTTATTAATCCTGGGTCAACATTATGTGGTTCAAGATGGAAAGCGGGACCATCCATCTTGAGGCTTTCAGGGTTCCATCATGTTCAGGCATTCTTAATGTATGTTTTCGGTCGCGTTGCTGACCGACTGTTGCCGCTTGCCACATTAGCAAACCGAAAGCAAATGGCTTGCCTGTCGACCTTCAAGGAAAGCAAAGAGCCTCCCCGAATACTTGTTGTATTGCCGCCGATAGGAAGTCTAAGTGCAAACGTTGCTCTCAACTTGAGCAGAACCGAATCCTCTGAACTCAGTAAAGGTTTCACCTCGTTGGTCAAACATTTCGAGGGCTTCTCAAGGCCACTTTTCGGGGGGATCCCTTGAAACCATCATTTAGAGGATTCCAACCCGCCCCTCCCCCCTTCCTGGTTGTTCAATTCTAGGCTACGCCTCCAGTTCGAGGCCGGTAGCCTCCTTGGGCGGAGGAGTGCACTTTTTAAGGACGCAGTGGGTCTGCTGTTTTTTGAGGATACACTTTTTGAGGGTGGTTTAAAGGAAGAAACCAGAGCAACACCAGCACTTAGGGGGGTCCCCAGATTTTGACACATACTCAGTTGTCCAGTTCATGGCACGACCATCACTTGTGTCGTGCTTTTTTCGCCCTGAGCTCTTTTTCAAATTGCTTGGCGCGTTGGCCATGTCCTAAACTGACGAATCCCTGAAAAGCATGGACAGGTACAGCTGGAGTTGTTTTAAGTCATGACCATAAACACGCATACAAGCATTTGGCTTCAGATGGTCTTCAAGCACGAAGACATAGCCGTCGCCTTTTCAGGACAAGCTCTATTTGATGTCTACTTGACTTAGGACTTGACTAGTCATCGCTTCAGGACAAGCTGGCATAAGGCGATGGCACAAATACATCTGGTTTGGATACCAGAATGCTCGTAAAGACTCATGATCGTTGCTGCGCTTGTTTGATAAACCAGGCCTGCTACGCTGTGATTTGAGGAAACCACCAGAACGTTCACAAGTAAACGATTCAACAAGACTAGACTTGACGGAACAAACATGGAAGCCCGTTTCCTTTGAGCAGTTTCATTCGATAGAGTGAGAGAACAGCTCATAGACGTCCAGGGTGAATAAAAAAGAAGAAGTTCCTTGGCACACCAACCTGAGCCTTGGCATTACGTCCCTTTGGGATGGAGTTGAGCTTGCGGTCCTTTGGCAACTTGCTCTCCAGCAACTTTCTGCTCCTGGCGTCACTTTTTTTGGGGGGGTAGCCTCAACATGGTGGTTTTCTTTTGGTGTTCCTTTTCGGGGGACACACAAAATGAGGGTTTCCGCTTGGTGGTCTTTTTTGAAGCCACCAACACAGGGGTACCCGCAAAAGAGAGACTTCTTTCTACTGTCTCTTTTTAGGGGACCCGCAAAATGGTCGTTGCCTTTTAGTTGTCCTTTTTAAAACCACCAAAACAGGGGGTACCCACAAAAACGACGACCGCCGGATCCACCTGCCTTCGGATGAGCGAAGCTCGGCGCCCGGAGCCTGGCTCAACGGGAGCGGAACCCCTTCGCTCCCGGACTCGGACGGAGCTCCATGTGAGGTGGCGAGGCACGCGGACCTGGGCCCATGGGTTGCTCCCATTTTGGAACGGGAGGGAAAGCATCAGCCTTCTTAGTACCGTATTTCGCACTTGGATCCTGGATCTTGGAAATTATTGATGATTGATCACTGCAAGATACTGTAACTTGGAGGCGGCAGTATGTTTGCACATGAAGTGCGGACTTCGATTTGTCGACTGCGACTTTAGGCGAAGGTGGTACAAATAACTGCGCCTCTCCCAATTGCATGGAAGGAGCTGCATGTTGCAGTTGGCGTCCGATTTATTGCAGATTGTGGACAAAATCCGCTTCATCGGTGAAAACCTATGAAGACTGGGATGAAGCACCTACCAAGTGATGCAAAGTGGATTCTGTCCATCCACAGTGTGTCATTAATAATACGGGTTGTGCAGTAGATGAGGTTGACCCTAAGAGAAGTAGTCCAACGAGAAGAATGGGCAAAGGATTGCCACAAAGGAATTCCCTTAGAGGGCCCAAGTACCCTCGATGATTGTTTGGGGTAAGGGGTCAAAGTACCTTACAAAGTACTTGGACCCGGGTTCTGTAACACCAAGTATCCGCCAAATGTGACAATTGCCGTTGTTTCCATCTTGTGTAAACAGTCTGCGCAAGCTCAGCGGTTAAAGCGAGGGGCAGAGGACCGTGCAAGAGAGCAGCACATGTACACGGCGGCATTTGAAGCACACGTGGAAACGTGCATACAAGATCTTTACCTCGACTAACCAACCACAGCCAGATAGTGGACAATCTACGCCAGGTCAGGATAGCATCCCTCCTGGCGTGGAATAAAGGACTTTCCATCAAACAGGCACCGCCCGAATCAATTCTTTGACAGTGTGGAAAATTGTGTTTTGGCCACATTCCGTGATACCAAGAATAATTATCGTTTCAAGCTCGAGGATGAAGATCCCAAGGTGGGTTCCAACAGCTGGGTGAATTATAATCGTTTTTGCAGAATGTGGCGGCCGACGTTGGAGTCACAAAGCAAATTATGAGAACCTCACCCGGCCTATTTTTGACATCCAAGGTTTCTTTTATGGGGAAAGCTTGCTTTCAGGTCAGTGAAGTTACAGATCTGAACCCAATGAACCTTTGTGGGTGAATTATAATAGTTTGTGAGCAAACTATAAGGACCTCGCCAAGGGAGCTTGTGACACACAAGGTTTCCTTTCTGGGGGGAGCTTACTTTCAGGTCAGTGAAATGATATGGCCATGAGTCAAAATTCCGTACCCCTAGTGAACATCCCAATCCCCACTAAAATAGGTTCTAAAATGGGTGGTGAATTCACCTACCCCAAAATGGGATCCCAAAACGGTTTTGACAACCACAGCCATATTTCGCTTTGCCTGCGACCGACTCCGTTCGTTCAACGACTTCCAGGCGATGTCTGCCTTGGGGCAGCGCCTCGCAGAGTTTCTGGGAACTTTGCTGCTGGTCATCAGCGTACCTCGGTGCCGCACACACCTCCAGCTGTCTCCCACATCCAAAACCCCGAAACATGCGGTCCAAACGGGCAACCGGCAGAATGCGCTGGGTGTGTCGTTTTTATGTTTTGCCAGCTGCTCAGGTGGCAGTGTTATAGGCAGCGGGACGCCTTTACATGTCATGTTTCCCAGTGGTGTTTGCTTCTTTTGAGAACATGAAGAAGGATGCCTAGTTTTGGCGCAGGCCCAAATGGAAGGGACATAGCAGACGTGTAATTAACCAACAGCTGGCAGCTTGCTTGGAGGAATTCAAGCAAAGAAGCAAGCGGGCGGCCGCTGCTTTCTGTGGCTGGCACTGTTGCCTACTCACCTTTATTTGCCCAGTTTCACAGAAGCGCATTATCACGATCAGATTCGCTTGCCATAGAGCACCTTTGCCAGAACTCATATTAGTCTTAAGCATTGCAAAGGCTCAAAACGCATAGACTGCAGGTACACAGCAAGCCCTTAATGTGCAGCTGCTTTCTCGGGCCGACGTTCCGAAAGGCATGAGCAGAATGGCATTCCGCCGAACTTGACCTGCTAGTCAACCCAAATGGTGTCATGTGACGTTTCCTTCAATAACGCTCACAAATGGGCCGGGTTTTGACATGCCACCGCCATTTCTGAAGGCCTGCAAATGGAAGCTGCAGCTTTATAGGGTCCGGTCCTTATGCAACTGGACTAATTAGATTGGTCTCTTGGAGACGCGATTGGCCTATGGATGGCGATTGCCAACACTTTCGACAGAAACATTTCCATCGGATGACAGCTGTTGTGATTCTTCGACAAGTTCTTCTGAAACTGGCTGCCGTTCACTTGCGACTCGGATGCCATTGCTCAGCTCTTGTTCTCAACCTGGAGTCTCCATGTCCATGACACCTCGATTTTGGGTAATGACCCCATTTTTAAAGATGGAGACTCCAGGAATGCGATCCGTTGGATTGGTCGGCGGGGTGCTTCAGTGAGCCATGTATTGAAAGTGGAACTCCCCCAAATGGTGGGTCTCGTGGTGGCTCGCTTTTCCCCTGGCAACTTTGCGCCGTCGTCTACTTGGCGCTCAGCAAGTAGGGAATGTGGGAATGAACCCAGGTTTTTCCGGGGTCAGTGCCTCATTCCCTGCCCTTGGCACCAGCAAGTCTCGTCCCGAAGCGGTGAGGTGGAATGTAGCACCGCCGCCTTCGGGTCTCCACTCTTTGGGGGCCTGGCTGTGGCTGGCATGCTCTTCGTGGCCATGCAGTCGCTCAGCATAAAAAGAACGGCAGGTTCAGCACAAAACACCGCCTTCGATTTGTTTAAGATTATTATTCAATTTTGCCCTGTTGGTTTTAAAAGGAATCGATCACTACTGAACATATGTTTTTATGTTTTCCAGGCGGCTTAAGCAAATGGAAGACGTGGAGTGCCATGTGTGTGTGACCTTTGTACATGTGGGTGTGGGTCAAAATTAAACCACCTGGATATGGACCACAGGTTTTGGTCCATGTTGCCACTTACCAGGGCAACCCATTTAGGTACCTATGTTTGACCCACAGCCATGGCATAACGAAATATCATACTTATATGTTACATACCGCTTTTAATATGGTTTGCAAAACCCTCGCGCTCCGCGTTTAACATTGGAAGTTTCAGGGCCATTGGTTGCAAACATGTTGGAATGACTGAATTCCTGCGCCACCTTGTTAGCTTCTCCCTTATCTCGCCGCAAGCAATCATCTCGAAATGTATCTATTTTATCAAAAGTAAATCGATTTGTAAAAAATGCTGCAGCGTATTCCTTCATATTGGTAGTTGCCCACAACTGGACAACTAAGAGCATGATGGACTATTTGTTGGGGGGATTGGGTGTCGAACACTTTGATGCTTCAACGGCTGGGTGGCTGGATGTATTTGTTTGTGTGTGTGTGTCAAAAGTAGCATGTCCAACTGCTCTGACAATTGCTTACCTCTTTAAAAAAAAAAAAAAAACAAAAAAAAAACTTTCAACTTTTTGGGTGACATGGGCTATATGTCTGCAAAAGATTAACTTCCCCAGGGCTTGGAGTTTTAAGGGGTAAGATTGGTTCGCTTCCTGCACGCTTGACCCTTGCCAGCTTAGCAAGCCTTTGAGCACGTGTCCAGAATCGTTCATGCTTTCTGTGTTTTTACCAAAGAAGACGTGGTGATTCACAGTTCCGGCACCAACATGAGATGGGGCCGCTCCAGTCTCCTGTGCCACTTGGCTTATTGCCAGAGAACGTTTGGGATTGAGGCCCGCTCTCCATTTGAAAGGAAGAAACACGCCCATGCTCATGGCATTAAACCATTTTTTGTTCAATCACATGGGTGTTACCACATTGCCTACCAGGGAATGGAGGTTCAAAATCAAACCGTTACTGGGGCTTACATGCAAGCTTACACCAGTCTGTCTATTTTTACCGCGAGCTCATGGGGAACCAGCGAACGCCGTGATAAAGGAACCCTTCTGGGTTCCCTTTCTCTCACTCCCCGAGCTTCTCTGAAAAAACCTTTGGGAAAGATTTGATTTTGGTTTGTTAAACGAGAACCAAGGTTCTTTCCCAAACAACCAATCTTGGCATAAACCTAGATCAAAAATTAAACCTTGTTAAACCTAGATTAAACCACCAATCTTTGCATAAAGAACCATCTAGGTTTGCCTCACCGTTTTGGTAAACAACCAAGTTTGGGTACCGCTCTCAAACAGCAAATTTCAATGGGTACCTTTTTCTGGCCCCATCCACTCAGGAAGTGAGTTATAGCATACACTCCCTCAGACTAAAATGGAAGCTCCCAGAAAAAAAAGGCCGTTGCAAATGGAGCCAAGTCTTCTAAAGGGGTCCTGCAACCTTCCATGTTAGTCTTCGGGAGGGTAAATATCGACTCACCAGCGCCACGGGAAGATATTTTCCG